TTTTTTTTTTTTTTTGAGACAATCTCACTCTGTAGCCCGGGCTAGAGTGCTGTGGTGTCAGCCTTGCTCACAGCAACCTTAAACTCCTGGGCTCTAGGGATCTTCCCTCCTCAGCCTCCCAAGTAGCTGGGACTATAGGCACACGCCACCATCCCCGGCTAATGTTTTTCCTATTTTTAGTGGAGAGGGGTCTCACTCTTGCTAAGGCTGCTCTCAGGCTTCTGACTTCAAGCAGTCCTCCGACCTTGGCCTCCAAGGATGCTAGGATTCAGGCGTCTGGCCTCTGGTATAGGTTTTTCTCTCCCTCATGCTCATGCCTTGTGACCAAAACCTGACGCTTCCCTTGGGGCCCCTATGGCTTGGTGTACCTCCTTCTATTGAGAAATGTAAGTAAATAATTTCCTTTTTTCAATGGCATTGGCCTCTCTGTATTGATACTCTATCACCTCCATAAATTAAAATCCCATGGGTACAATGAGACAGTGATTTTGGGTGAATCACTTGCCTGGCTGGGCCACCCCTCTTCCTTTACAAAATCATAGTTTTATGCTAGATGGTATTTAACAGTTCTAACATCATAGAATTATATGCTTCTTTACACAAATTGCAGTTTAATTGTGTGTGTGTTTTTTTTTTATCTAGCTAAAATGAGAGCTAAGAGAAGGTATCAGATAATTTGTGTCCCAAATGGGACCAGTCAATTGTGTAATTTTTTTCCAGGGACAAAAGGCTGCAGACTGAGGCAGGTCTATACCCCGCTGCCGCTTTCCAAGCAGTGCCATAATCATGTCTGGGACAGAAACTAGTCACAGGAAGGCAGTGGAGTCCCTCTGCATCTCCTCCCGAGACTGAGAGATACCACGGACCAGGCCACTAGGGAGAAGGTTCACTGGACTCACCGTGTATGACACGGGCCTGGGATCCAAGGGCAGCAGCAAGGATGAGGAAGACAAGGGCAGCCACAGAAACCTTCATCCTCCCAGTGGGCAGTCCAGAGCTGGCCTGAGGACTCCTGGGCTCACAGGAACCCAGCGCTGTCCTTGTATTTATAAGACCAGGAAGTCATAGGGCAGAAGTCAGAATGCTATTCTTTGGCTATATAATGGTTAACATGTTATTTCTAAAAAGAGGAACAAGGCAAAGAATGAAGCAGGAAGTAGAAGCAAAGATGATGTGATTGTCCCTATGGAATTTTAGAACTGTCCCAATGGGTACAGGCAAAGAGAGTAAATATTTCAAGGAAGACTCTTTTCTCCAAGAGAGTCATTTAATCCTCTAAATGTGAGCCCAGGGTGGGAGTAGGGGGCTGTCCCTCCCCAACTCATTGAACTTGATGGACACTGCTTTGGGTCCGTTTCCAGTGGGGTTCCTGGAACCTGACCAGAGGAACTTTAAAGGTAAGCGCTAGTCAAGCTGCCACCCCAATGGAGAGCTGGAATGTCCTCAGATCAGGGGCTGGGAGATGCTCACGGGCACTGATGATCCGAAGCCCTCACCACTCTATCCTGGACCTTCACGTGCCCCCAAAGCCTATCATCCGGGGTGACCACCAGGGGCAATTCTGTACCCTGTAACCTTGGCCGTGCGATTCCACAGACAGGCTCTGCCAGTGGCTGCTCACGGACTTAGGGTCAACTTCTAAGTTTCTGTCTGAGTGCAGAGGCCCTTCAGAATAGGGTCTCTGCAATACAGAGCTCTCTCTTTCAATATACTGACATTTTAATACATTTAAATTTAACAGTTAATGATGCATCATTCATTTAGATTTTATCTTTTTGTCTTTAGAGTGAATAAATTTTTCAAGCCCAATAGTAGGTGCTAGTGGAATAAATTGGTCTTATGCAGTGACTAATCTACTAACCTCAATTCTTCTTAGCAGTCACCTCTGCGACAGACTGCTTGCTTTCTGCTCTAGCTGGGCAGTGTCCTCGTAAGTGCTTTTGTAGTGCAGGGCGGCAGATAGCGACCGATGATCGATCCGCCGCCCCCGCGCCGCGGTGTCTGATACTTAATTAATAAAGCATTATATACACTGTCACATCTTTTTAAATGCTTCTGTACTTAAGGCTCTCCATTCCCACAATTAACATGTTGTGTGTGTGTGTGTGTGTGATGTGGTGTGTGTGTAGTTAAAAACAAAAAAAAAGCCAACACATAAGATGAATCTGCCTTCCTGACAAACTTCCAGTGTGCAGTTATAAGTCTTGAAGAATGTCTGCCAAGAAGGAGATAGTTACATAAAACAAATGGTGTGAGTCTGTACAGTACATGCAGGATGATATAATGAAATGAAGACAAGATTTTCTTTTTGTTAAATTAGAGAAGTAATTAAGAATTGCGGAAAATAGACATCAACATGAGATTATCGTGGTTAAACATTAAGTCAATGAAACTGTGTCATTTGAGGAAAATAATGATGTGCACTAAAATGAAAATCTAGCTCCCAGCTGACTGACTGGATCCTTCGTTGTCAAGGGACCCAATAACTACCCTAAAGCTGGAGTTGCTGCCATGAGAAGGTGAGGTGAGGCAATCCTCGTCACACCCCTCCCTTCTTAAGATGGCTTGTAACTCATTAACGTGCAGGCTCAAACCACACCTGCAGGTTATCAAATTACAGATCACAGAGTATGCTGGTGACTTGTCTCTATTACAGACTTCCTTATCTAAACATGCAGGGCTTTAGACAGAGCCTACATTTCTC